AAATAAAAAAACTATTTAAATAAAATTTTATGGTTATTTTTTTTTTTTATTTTCGTTTTTGGGCCCCCCCCCCCCCCCCCCCAAAAAAAAAGCATACCGGCAATGGAACCAATGTTGATAATATCTCCCTGGCCGCCATTAGGTCGTTTCTGGAAAATTGGTAGAATGGCCTGTGTCATGTTGATGAGGCCGGTGACGTTTGTCGTGAAGACAACGTTCATGTCCTCCTCATCAATTTCAGGTGCCTTGGCTACACCCTTCACAAGTCCGCTGAGCAACAAGGAATTAGTAAAATTACTAATACTCAATGAAAAGTGATGCTTCCTTTGATCGGATAGCATAAGAAGATGAGGGAGAAACTTACGCATTGTTGACCAAGACATGAATATCCCTCCACTCCTCCGGCAAACTGTTCACAAAGCCCCGGATCTCATCCGCCTTGCTCACGTCAAGCTTCACGGGAAGCACCTTGACTCCATTGTTAGTCTCCTTGTGAATCTCAGCAGCAAGTTCCTCCAGCGACTCCGTACGGCGAGCCGTCACAATAAGTCGCAAGTTGCCATTGGGGTTGGTCCGCGCAAACTCGAGAGCAGTCGAACGTCCGATTCCAGACGACGCTCCAGTAATGAGGACAGTCTTGCCCTCCAGACGCTTAGCTGCCGCAGATGAAGCCATAGTGCGTGTGAAGATGGTGAATCTGTTTTGCGTGATGACCGGTTTGAGGATGAGAGATGGAGAAGCAAGGGTCTGTCTCTGGCTATATCGAGACAAGGACCGGTTGTAGCCGCTTTGTAAGAAAGACGAACGAGTCACAGCAGTACGGAAAAGATTGGCGGTAGCTCTGATTTGGACGGAAGGCATCAAGATAAAGATACGCTTCTCCGTTGCCTTCGCACGCTAGCCAATTGCTCAAGGAGAAGAGAGAGAAGATGGAAAGTCGTAGAAGGAAAAGTGGATTTGCTGTTGACTCCAAATTGGAGAGGACGAGATAGCAACGGAGGGCACAGGTTTAAGATTGGGTACTAGGTACCTTGAGAACTGAGTCACAGCATGTACATATCATGTATCTGATCTGAGGGCACTAATAGCAGCTACAAATGATTCCAAGCATAGCTCTTAGAGGGAATTAGTATCATTCATCATGCTATACAAAAATGACGACAAGCTCCAGGGCGTCTCCAAACTCGCCAATTCCCCCACCTTGGTTCCGGGTGAAGAATGACCCCGCGCTTCCCAACGTGGGGCAGAAATCACACGCAAATGCTTGCATCTTCAGCTGACGGCAGCACTTTTTACCGTCTCGAGGATCCCACGCTCGGCACCACTATGCGGATTTTTATCCTCTCTTATCCGGTGACGAGGCCTTCCCAGTCAAGAACATAAAAAGACAAAAGCGAAGAGAAAAAGAAGAAATACAACAGGGGAGCAAAGACACAGGCTGGTCGGGGTGATTCGGTTATGCTACTCTTTTTGCTGAAGCCAGAGGTAGTTGTCGTATACAAGAGCCAGAAGCAGCTCTTCTGCAACCGTCCAAGAGTGCCAATCAAGAGATGTCCGCCTCTCCGTCATTCAGATCCCTCATACACATGGACGGCCGCTCATGTTACCGGCATGAGTGTTACATCCAAAATATACAGCATGCCTAATTATTTCCTCGGCTCTTCCGAATGTGCAAGGTCCTGCAACGGAATCAAGGGTTCCACGATTCTCTGTTGCCCATCCCTCGGAACTGTCGCTTGAAGCTGCTGCTCAATGTCCCTTTTGCGTATATGACAGCTCATAAAGGCTGTCGATAGCACCGCCAAACAAGCTGCTACCGCGGCCGTTGTGATACTCTTGTGGAACGCCGACACATATGCTTTTTTGACAGCTTCTAGGCTATCTCCTATTAGGTTTTTTATGTCGCCCTCCATGTAATCCAGCTCGTCAGAGGTCAGAATATCTGGAAGTCGGTTAATGACTTCGGTGTGTAAGAACAATGTAGAAATTGCTATGCCAAGGCTCCCCCCTAATATTCTCGCTTGCGCAAGAATGCCATGAGCTGACGCTGAAAGGCGAAAGGGTTAGCACATTATACCAACAGGGCGATATAAAAGAATAAAAGGACCTCACCCTTTTGCCGTGTCAGAACATCAACACTGATCACGTTGGTTGCTGCTGCTGTAAAAAGACCGAAACCGAAACCCACGAAAGCTAGAAACCCAAGAGCTTTTGCGTCGTCTTCAGGTCCTCTAACCGTTGTGAGGAGCACGAATCCAAGACCCATGAGCCATGAGCCACAACGCAATGTCCCAGAAAGGTGATCTTTGACTGCGTTGACCTTTCCGCTGACCATGCTCCCGATAGCAACTGTTCCCAGCATAGGAAGTAAAGTTAGCCCCGCAAGGAGCGGGCTCTTGTCGCTCACGACTTGCATCCTGATTGGAAATAAAAATATCAAGAGTAAATGAGGGTAGCCCAGCAGAAAGGTAGTCAAAGTGCTTCTCGCGTAACGTCGATTTCGTAAAAGCTCTATTGGAAAGACGGGAGTGATGGATTGAGCAAACCACTTCTCAATAGCAAATCCCCAGGCGAAGAGTGTCGACCAGCACGCCAAACCAATCACCAATGGTGCGATGAATATCGGGCGCCTCCAGGCCTTCGGCTCGGACTCACCGGCATTCTGAAATGCAAAAACAACAAGGACCGAAGCTGCGATGCCTAGTATGGTACCGACAAAGTCAAACTGCTTCCACGATATGGTCTGAGTATAAGACATCTTCGTCCTGCTGGGCCAGCTAATAAAGAAAACAAGTAGGGAAGCAAACCCAATGGGTCCACTGTCTTACACGTTAGCTGAGTCCTTCCATCATATGCACAGTCGGGATTGCAGACTTCATCCAAAAAATCCACCGCCAGCTCGTATATTGGGCGAAAATCCCTCCCAAAACTGGCCCAAGAATGCCCGCGCCGGCAATGACCATTCCGATAATGCTACCGATATATTGACGTAGTCGCGGTGGACACTGCTGGGTCAATATGATCATTGATAAGGCATATAGACCTGCAAAGCACTGTAAGTGTTTCGCTCTCTTTGTGCACGAGGGGAGGATTTCATATTCACAGACCGGAACCCCCAATCCCCTGAAATGCCCGACATATTATCAGCCACTTTACGTGCTTAGAAAAGCCACATGCAATAGAGAAGGACACAAAGAGCATATATGAAGCTGCGAAAGCATTACGCCGTCCAATAATATCGGAGAGAGTGCTGCATGACACGATGAAGCCAGTATAGCCTAGAGTATAGGCTAATACGACCCAGTTGATCAAACTATGCTCTTGAAACTCGACACCGATTGTGTATAAACTAGTTGCTAGGATGGAGGAGTCAATGATCGACAGTAGCAGGCCTGAACAGACCCTATAGGAACAGGTCAGATTGAGTCAACTCATACAAGCTCTCCTTTAACTGATACTGGCACTCACCCACAACAAAGCAACCAAAACTGCCATTTAGGAATGGGAGCAAAACCGGCTTCAGGTATTTGTCCATCATCCGCACGTGGTGTTGGTTCCAGAGGATCGCTGGGCTCGTCACAGCTAGAACATCTCGAAGGAGGCGACATTGTCCCAGTATTGGAAACGTATCTCGAGTTGCAGCCTGACAGACTTTCTTTAGGAGTAATATGACTGAGATGTTGTTGCTGCCTTATAGGATAACACGGATTGTGTCTCTCTATCAGCCCAGCCGTTTCCAGAAGAATGCTTAAAGGTATCCAAGAAGCAGCTCGCCTTCTAATATTAACAAGAAGATTCCAAAAGAAGGAAGGAATATTAGACTAATTGATCGTGGTGGGTGTAGAAAGCGAGAGTGGTTGAACAAACGGAGACGTAAATCGAGTTAGGTAGGTAAGAAGGTTCAGCTCGTCAGGTGCAGCTGGGGGAGGCAGCCTCTTATATTGGTCAAAGACTGTAAACAAAATTAAATCTAGAAAATTATCCAGTGACTCTCTCCGTTTGCTACATGCTTAGGTAGTGTCAGTGTTTGGGTGTCTGTAAATCACACTCACGCCTTCCTACTATACCAAAACTGCTACTGATTAGAAGCCAGAGGGGTGAATTCTCGTCTGCCATGGCCACAGGTACGGGAAGTTTAAACCGACATCATGGTACTCTCTTGGCTATAGTTGAATCGAGGGGAATAATAAAGAATGCTTGATACAAACAAAGCTACGAATATCTGCACAAAGAGAGGAGATGACCAAGAGTCTATAGTTATGACACAAGAATCGTAGGCGCCTGTTGGAGCTGAAAACCATGAGGCTAAAGGTTGTACTTGTAAGGTTTCACTTTGGTTAAAACGAGATTATTGTGACATATGTCGTTCAGGTGATGCAAGTGAATGCAATAGGTATGTTGAACAGAAGAGGCACATGCACCTCAAGAAAACAATGAGCACTCCAGTAGAGATAACGCAAAGGAAAATCCCAGATTTCTCCATCAGCAAGAGGTGACATCAATGACCTCTAGGTAGAATGTTCTTTTTAAATAAATAATTAATTAATTAACCAAACTGAGGTGGCAGACATTTATTCTTTTGCAGTGGACGTACGGAGGATGAATCTCATACAGAGTAAATGCATTGAAATATTGGTAATTCTGGGAACCACTGATGCCTAATGCGGACTAATTGCAGCTGGCGCTCTCTGTCTAGTCTGCAGTAGGCAATAGTAGGAGCTTGGATTTGTGCCCCTCGATAGCTACATGTGGTAGCTCTCAGTACCTACATTGTCCAACAACTACATCAATCCTTGCCCACTTGCAACATCAGAAGCTCTGTATTGGCTGGGAATTTGCCAAATAACACAGTGTTACCCCTCCAAACTCTGCACTTTTTCAATAGCACTCGCTCACTCACTCACATCCTCACGACAAACGCACCGGGCCGTCTGCCACTACCCCGCTGGTGCCCAGCAGTCATCTCAACTTCAACCATCCACACAGGCAGCTCAGGCAGCGCTTGCACAGTATGACAGAGGTACTGGAACAAACGCCTCTCGTACCTCGTGGTCCTTCAGACAAGGAAAAGAAGTATGATCGCCAGCTCAGGCTGTGGGCTGCTTCAGGCCAGGCGGCACTGGAATCGGCCAATCTCTTGCTTATTAACTCGGGAGCCGGCACAGTTGGGATAGAAACGCTGAAGAACCTTGTCTTACCCGGTTTGTTGGCCCTTTACCCAAAGACCAAGTCTGAGTGTGGTTACTTACATTGCAATTTTATTTAGGCATTGGCAAATTCACCATTGCCGATGGTGCCGTTGTCCAGGATGTAGACTTGGGCGTCAACTTCTTCCTAGACGAATCATGTCTCAGTAAATCGAGAGCTCAGTGCTGTACGGAGCTGCTCCTTGAGCTTAATCCAGAGGTGGATGGAGTTTGGAATTCTACCGTGACGGTACGTTTCCCGTGTCATCTATGGCGTCTTCAAGGCTAATTGACCCAGGATGCCACCAGTCTTCAAGAGCTACTTGACGCACCAGAGACTTTCACCATGATCATGTATAGCCATCCTTTACAACCTGGAATGCTTGAAGCCATTGAGGCATACGGCCGTAAGCATCGGACGCCACTTATAGCCATCCACTCAGTGGGCTTCTACTCCTACTTCCGAATCACACTACCAGGAACATTTCCCATTGTGGATACTCACCCCGACGAGACTGCAACGACAGACCTGAGGTTGCTATCTCCTTGGCCAGAACTCTCTGAGTTTGCCAATGAAATGACCAAAGACGTCGACAGTCTTGACCACCACGACCACGGCCATCTTCCCATGGTTGTAATTCTGCTTTACTATCTTGGCATTTGGAAGAAGGAACACGGCGGCGCTTACCCAACATCGTACAGCGAAAAGACGGAATTTCGCCAACTCATATCCAAGGTCACAAGGCGAGACAACCCCGAGGGAGGTGAAGAGAACTTTGATGAAGCTTTCGCAGCTGTAATGCAGCATGTGTCTCTACCACCAGTCCCTTCATCGCTTAAGCAGGTCTTTGATTACGAGCATACGGATGAACAAGAATCCAAGTCCAGTTTTTGGATCATTGCTGAAGCTTTGAAGCAATTTTATGCTGAGAATCAACGCCTACCCGTGGCTGGTGGCTTGCCTGATATGAAGGCGCAGTCCAGCGTCTACATAAAGCTGCAGAACATCTACAAGGACAAAGCCAGACAAGATGTAAACGACGTCTTCTCCAGAGTCCAGAAAATATCAAGAGGTGAAAACATCGACTTGGAGGAAGTTGAACTTTTTTGTAAAAACGCTCGCTTCGTTAAGCTTATCAACAACACGGGGGAAGCGCCGCCAAGCATGGAGCAGATCATAGGTAAGTGGCAAGCTGAAAGCAACTCTTTGTTCCCGTTACTAATATGAGACCATGTCTCAAATAGAACGAGAGCTAAGCAATGATGAAGTCGCTGCCATTGCCGGGCCGGAAATGCCGACATCGCTGATCCCCATCTACCTTGCCTTGAGCGTGCCGTCGCTTGCTTCGGCATCTGCTGATGAGATTGTAAATGCAGTCTGCCAAAAGGCACCGGCTCTCGAGGGCAATGAGCGCTTGACTCAGGTGGCTCAAGAATTAGCACGAGCAGCTGGCGGGGAGCTGCACAACATCTCTGCCGTGACTGGAGGGATGGTGGCGCAAGAGGTGATTAAAATCATTACAAACCAATATGTTCCCATTGACAACACCTGTGTGTTTGATGGGATTGAGAGCCGGTGCCAAGTCTTGCGGTTATGACGCTTGCACTCACACAAATTTGATGACACGGGATCGATGTAGGCAAGTCGAGATCATTTGCATTTGGGGGTCAGGGGATCATTCATGGGGCATTAGCTGCTATTGTTTTTAGATTAAATCCATAGGGATATCCGCAGAATGGCGTTAGTCATACTATATTGGAAGATTCTGCAATGAATATTTAAAGCCGGATAGGTCTGATAGGGCAACCTGACTGTATGTTGCAGGGCCATACTAAGATATGGCGACAGTTGCACTTCATTGTCCGACCCATCATTAGACGTTGAGGCCATTTCTTTATGATATAATTGAATGTACAGGCACTACTAGGTACTAGGTACCTGTCAATGGTTCTACTATTCCCCAATGTGGAAGGCTCAGATAAAGGAAATCTTCAAAATGTGCCTGCCTCATTCGTGATAGGCAAGTGCCAGCCCTGCAGAAGACTTTACAACCGAGCTGTTGCCTCAGAAGAGACCCGTGGACAGAAATATGAGAGGCAAGTGCATCCCGATTAAAACTCTGATGAAGGCAAGGGCTTTGTTCGACATAATTCATTCATCTGCTCCAACGTCTTGAAAACTCTTTGAAGAGCTTGATTAACTCTTTTAACGCATCAATCGTCGCGATCCCCGGCCGCTTCGGAGCCTCCAGATTGTTTGATGGTTCAGTTACGACACATATCCACAGCTCCCTTTTACTTCACTTATTTACATTTGCACCCCTTTCCGTGGTCCATTGGATGCACGCTTAAACTCAGCTTCAAATGGATCATCCACTCACCTGTAACAACCTCAAGTGTAGAAAGCAGCTTACCGACCATGCTGTTGTCACAAGCTGCAGGTGAGTCTCCTCATCAATTGCCTGGTCTGATCGAATACATGCTCATGGTTTGCTCACTATTCAGTCACATCTTTTGCTCTGAATGCGCTAAACAGCTTGGCTTGACACCAGAAAATCAGGGGCGCAACACTTGCCCTGCATGCCACATCCAACTGGCTAAAGCAGACAGCATCTTCTTCACCAATCTCAATCCAACTGAAGAATATAAAGCGTGTATACTCAGTGGATTGAATCCCGGCATAGTCATGGAGTGCGCCGGACGAGCTGTCGGCTTTTGGGCGTATCAAATTACCCAAAACCTACACTATCAGCAGCACCTGTGCAAGACATTACAAGAAAAGTACTCGGACTTGTGGGCTCGATGTGATCAAATTACCAGAGATTCAGATGCGAAAATCAACGGACTACGTGGGAAATTGGAAGGTTAGTGATGTCAGTGATTATCCTTCCTATTTCTTGAACTTATCAAGGCAGGTATGACGAATTCGCGAGACGTTTTGCAACAAAAGAATGTTGAACTGGCGGAGGCTCTTAGAGATAAAAATCGCAAGCTTTATCAGACACAGGAGCTTTATAATCAAGTCAAGAGAAAAGCCGAATTGGGCCAAATTGAGCGAGCAGCGTACGATGCCGTCGATAATTCCATTCGCTCAGCACCCCAGCCCGCAACGAACGGTCAGGAGCCACACGGCTTTCATTCAAATTTTCACGATATCAATGAACCAGTCTACTCTCTCAGCCATGGGCCACGGTTCGATACTACAGGGTTCACCACGGGTCCGTCTGGATCCAATCTTCAGCGGAACGAGCGTGAAGATCCCTGGATAAGAAAAAGGACTCCATCTCATGGTAAAGTACACCACTATCCACAGCCATTGGATGCACCTTAACCCATCATTACAGGCCTCACCCCAGAAACCCAGTCGTACCGCCGTACAACAAGCGGCCATGGACGAGCAGATATTTTCCCTGCCAATATTGCCAGCAACAAAGGGTTGCCCAGGGGAGGCAGCATGAGACAGCCAGGTGCGAACTCCCCAGGCTTTCCCCAGCGAGGTGGCCCTTGGGCTAGTGTTGGCCTCATGTCTGGGCTCAAGACTGGCGAACCGCCTAGTCAAGCCAGAGTGAATGGACCATTGGGAGATCTATAACAAAGAAGATCGAGTTCAGCAACGAGATCTCGGTTCAAAATTGGTATCTATTTTTGTGCAGTACGCGCCCTGGCAATCTCTTTGAAGGGAGTTGTAATGAGAACAGTCATGAAAGCAAAACAACCTGCAACGTTCAGTAATTGATCATCTTTTCAATCCAGGGTGAGATCAAGATACCATGAGTGAACAAAGGCCATCTGCAGCATTTAAATACGGCATACAATTGCACATATCGCCGCGTAAAAGTTGTTTGTGTCATCAATTACACAAAACCTCCGCACCCATGACCAACATGCAGAAAAGAGACCGAGTTGTGCACTTGTCAGACGAGGTAACCTACACCAGAACCATCCGATACAAAGTGCCACCATTCATCCGAAAGTTGGCTTGCCGTCTCGGATTACGCCATAGAGACAAGTGGACAGTTGATACGAGGAGGGTGTCAATACAATGCGCAGATGAGATACAAGTACACACACATCAACGGATAACACATGAACGGATAACATATGACAATTGCGAGCAGCATTCGACAGTGCGCATTTCATCGGTGGAAACGAAGCCGCCGGTTCAGTGCTGGTCATTGGAGCCTGCGCAAAGATATCCGGCCCCTTGCTTGTTTGGACGAGCGCAAAGGTATTCAGCCGTTTGCAACGAGTGCAGCCCAGGCCGAAGTTGGGAAACGTGTGCCGGCCGCCGGGAGAGACATTCATGTTACGTTCAGTGCTGTCCAAGATAAAGGTACTCCGTACGAGTACAAGCACGGGTGACGAGTGGATGGAGGAGATGCTCGTGATGCGTGGGGGACCGAGTCCAACAAGGCGGTATTACAGGGTTGTGCAGATGCTGGTGGTGCTATCACAGCCATCACCTGTATGTGGTAGTGGCAGATTGAGCTACTGCGGATGACTTCGTATTCTATCTTTAGCAGCGACGAAACGAGGATGGTGGCCGCTGATGGCGTGTACTTTATAGATAGGCTATGAAAAGTATAGAAACTTGTAACTGTGTTTTCTTTGCGTGGGCGATCAAGTACAGTGACTTAGATAAGATGCTTTTGCCCATGGCGTAATGGCAGCGCACTGTGGCGTCGGTTCCCCGGGCGTGAGGCATTCAGCGCCTCTCAGTGGCCCGACAGCTGCCAGTCCACGTAATTAGACGTGCCCGTGTTGGACTTTAGTATTTTCTCAATCTCCATGTCGATTTTCCGGTTTCCCTTGCACATGCCCGTCCGCAACCCGTCGCACCACGATTGTTGCATTGTCTCTCGTTCAGTCGCTTGATCGCCTAGCCTCGATTCCTAATCCCTAATTCTGTGGCACAATCTCCTTCACTTCGCTCGCTAGCCTTTGTTTCGATACCCCTGCGCAAAGTAACCTGCCAATCCTACACTAAATACATTTCTTATCGCCTAATGATTGCGCCCCCTCGAGAAGCCTCCATTCCACGATAACCACCTGTCGAGAGACAAAGAATTCTTTGTCTCGACTTTTGCGACCTTTGATTCTCATCCAACCCCCGCATTGACGGATCGGCAGCCGCGCCAGTCGATCCATCTGCTGCGCTTTGTTCGACCCAGCTGGCGGTTGTCAGCTCAATAAAAGTAATAATAACAAACCGATCCGAGTCGATTCGATAGGCGCCGCGCGAGACTTGATTTGACTCGACTGGACTCGATCTCGGCAGTCCGCATGCTCACATGGGTAAGACGCGCAACCCACCGGCTTGGAATTGGGAGGAGGAAGTGCCAAGAAGGAGAAAGAGAGAGGAATCTGAAATTGGTATCCGCTAATATGGAATGGCTGTGCAGGTCAATACGGTGTAATTCTCGATGCTGGCTCTTCCGGCACCCGCGTGTACATCTACAAATGGAAGGATCCCAACAAGGCCCTCAAGCAAGCTTCTGCCTCCGATGCCCACGTACTACCGAAGCTGAAGCTCCACAAGAGCAAGAAGATCCATCCGGGAGTTTCTACCTTTGCTGAAGACGTCTCCTCTGTCGGGCCCGATCATTTGAAAGCGCTCATCGACACCGCGCTCGACGAGATACCAGCATCCCAGGTCGCCCAGACACCAATCTTCCTCCTGGCCACCGCTGGCGTTCGATTCCTGCCCAAGCACCAGCAAACGGCATTGCTACAAGGCATCTGCACATATCTACAGGCCAACACACAGTTTCTGCTCCCCGACTGCGCAAGCCGTATTCAGGTCATCTCAGGCGAGACCGAGGGCTTGTACGGCTGGATCGCTGCCAACTATCTACTTGGCGGCTTCGATAACCCCGACGAACATGCGCACGGAAAAGGCCATAATACCTATGGCTTCCTAGACATGGGTGGTGCGTCGGCACAGATTGCCTTTGCACCAAACTCAACCGAGACGGAAAAACACGCGAACGACCTTAAGCTGGTCCGACTGCGACGCCTAGATGGCTCTCCTATGGAGTACAAGGTCTTTACAGCTACGTGGCTCGGTTTTGGGGCTAACAAGGCGCGAGAACGATTTGTCGAAGGCTTACAAGAGCAGTACGGCAAAGCGAAAGGCGACATTCCGGACCCTTGCCTACCGAAAGGCTTGCGAACCTCCATCAAGGGCGAGCCCCTTGGCAGCAAGCAATCATCCGATTTTGCGCTTGTTGGAACCGGCATGTTTGAAGAATGCCTCCGTAAGACGTACCCCTTGTTGGGTAAAGATGTGCCATGCAAGGATGACCCGTGCTTACTCAACGGTCAGCATGTGCCCGCCATTGACTTTGATGTGAACCACTTCATTGGCGTCTCGGAGTACTGGCACACAACACATGGCGTCTTTGGCCAAGAGAGCAAAGTCTACGACTTGATCGCATACGAGCAGGAGGTTAATGCATTCTGCAGCCAGGACTGGTCGGTAATTGAACATGGACTTGATAAGAGAAAGAAGACGATGGAGGAGAAGGCAGAGAACGCCAGGGAAGCTTGTTTCAAAGCCTCATGGTTAATCAATGTGCTATATGAGGGCATTGGCATCCCGCGGATCAGTCTAGGGGACATTCCCGGCACAAAAGTCAACAACACCAAGGGAGCTGTGGAAAAGGCGAAAGGTAAGGGGTTTTTAGATCCCTTCCAGCCTATTGACACGATTGGAGGCGTTGAGGTCAGCTGGACTCTGGGCAAAATGGTTCTCTACGCTGCCGGACAGATCCCCCCACAAGGCTCAGCACTTCCTGTTGGATTCGGAAGCAATACAGGATTGGAGATTCCCTCTGATTTTGAACTTGCCGGGTCCAAACCCTTGTTTCCAGGCTCTCATTACCATGACGACGATGACGACGACGATGTCGTTTCAAATCGCTCTTCACCTGTCTCTGGTCTATTGGTGCTGATGCTGATTCTCCTCTTCGTTGGCTACCTCCTAAGAAAAACCGAATGGGGCCCTAGAGTGCTAGGCAAGTTCCGCCGTTTCCGGAAATCTAGAAGCTCGTCTTTTGTGAGAAACCTCTTCGGCAGAAACCCAACAAGCTATGAACGGTTATTAGAGGAAGGCGGTGCGCTTGAGTTTGAGCTTGGAGGCACAGAATCCGACGAAACTGACGGCTCGGACGGCGGAGAGACGTCAAGATCTGCTAGAGGCAACCGACTGTCGGGAACCAAGGCGAGCTTCGAGCGGTTTGAGGGGATGCGTCCCCCATCAGTAATGGATAGGCATGGGCTTGTTTTGCGGACAGAGAGCTGCGAGCGACTTGCTCCGACACTTCAAATGCTGAACGCTGGCCGTCGCAGCAGGGCCGGAAGTCCGACACGGTTGAAGAATTCCATTATGATACCGCAGGAAAGCTAGCGACGACGCGGTGGAAGCAGCTCCTCTGAGAGGAAAGTCATGATTGTATGATAGACATGTCAAAGCTTTGATGGAATCTCACGGTTGTCGGTTTCATTCATACACGTTCATTTTTGGTCTATATGTTCCCCGACTGCCCCGTTAATAGCGGCCTCTTGTTTTTGGAAATTGGGTACATAGGGAGTTCTGGTGAAGCCGATATCTCCAAGCTGGGGCTTAGGATGGGAGATTCTCGCATTCACCAGGTAGTATAACCAGTCTTTTTTAGAATAGCTCTATACGAGCCTAGTGTATACACAATATTTGAACCACAGCCTTTTTGCACGTTTACGCCAGTGTTCTTGTTCTTTTTGTTGAGCCACGATATTAAAACGCTTCTAATCCTTACATGAGCTGCCGAAGAATGGGTGGATGGGCAGAGGGGTGAAAAAAAAGCAGATGAGATTCGCTCTACGCTACAAAGCCAGACGGGAAGAAAGAGCACAGCCGAAGCAGTTGTAATTGTACAAGGAGTAAGATTTCAGTCGGCCTGCTTCTCGAGGAAGCTGGGATCAGATCGAACTCGGGACTCAAACTTGCGCCACCAGTCTTCAAAGGCCCGCAAAGGAACTACCTCGACGCCGCCGGGGCCTGCCGTGCCGCTGAAGCTGGCGAGGAAGTTGAAGGCGTTTTGGATGATGCGCTGGGCGAGGACGGCGGTCGATGTCGTCGAACCAGAAGAGTTGGATGCCGGCGCGCTCGTCGCTTTGCTGGCGGCAAGCTCATGGAGGCGCTGGCCAACGCCGTCGGCGGGCTCGACCGAGATGCCAATCATGAAGCCGCCTCCGTCGGCCTCGGCGCCGCCGCCGACCTTGAACATGGCGCTCTCCTTGCCGGGCCCGATGGCGCCGAGGAAGCGGAAGTTTGGGGTCGGGCTGGCGGCGGCCTCGCGGGCGGTGGTGAGGTAGATGGCGGCGGCGGTGTTGTCGGGCAGGGCGACGCTGGGGAGGAGGAAGACGACGATGTGGGAGAAGGGCTTTGTCGTGGGCAGGGCGTAGAGGAACGAGGCGGGGGAGGGGTTGGAGGTTGGATCGGTGATGAGAGGTTGCCCGGCGGGGACGATGCCGAAGAGAGGGCCGGACATTGTTGTTGAGATATTGGCGATTGGTTTATTGCTGGATGCGATGCGATGCGATGCGACTGGGGTGTGTGATGGTGTTGAACTCGTGAGAAAGCGAAAAGAGACGGAGAAGAGAAGGTTGGATTCGGAGGTTTTTCTTGGGGCCGCGGGGTAGATCGAAGTGGGCAGTTTAGTTGGTGTCTGACTTTTGCTTGCTTTGGATGAAGAAAATGCTGGAACAAAAAGATGTATTTGCAAACATCACTATGAAATTGAATGAATCATATCGTCCAACACGCATCCGGGTTACTCAACACAGTTAGCCGCACAACACGACATAACAGCCCTCTGTTTTGGTGTTTGTCCTCGGCAATTACCCTTTGGAAAGACGCAGATCCACCGCCGGACCAACATCGTCTAGGCTACAAGGTCACCTTTGAGGCATTCTTTTGTTCCCTCCCGATCATTCACCGGTAAACAAACATAATTTTGGATTTAGACCTTGTTCGCCTGCAGATTCTGATCGTTTACAAGTACGTGGAACGCACTGATTGCTTGATTGGCTTGCTGCCTGCTGGCATAGCCATGAAGCCTCTTTCATGCTGTTGATGAGGAACGAAGACCTGAGAGGGTCATTATGCCTTGTGCCAAGTGGTGCTCTGACACTTGAGTGAACACAGACTTATATATTTCCCAGTGGGATCCTGTGGATTTTACAGACTCTCGTCATCTCAGTTTGCAATTTTGCAGAAGCGTCTAATCACCGCATACAGATAGCTACCGTTTTGAGCACCATGTCGAAGACCAATCTAGACCTCATTTGTGACACTGACAAGTGCGTTTTACTCCTTCAACCCAAGTTACTTCTCAAGAGAAGCCCTTGTTCAAGTTCTGGCGGATGGCAGAGCTTTTGTAACTACGTCAGCCCACTAATTGAACGCCTATGACAGATTTCCGTACAGTGACGATGAGACAGCCGAGGCCAATAGCTTGCGTAGTAGACTGTTCAAGCTACTGTGGGAAGATGAAGACGGACAATATGCCATCGGCTACGTGCCTGATTGGGTCATCAATGAACTGTCTCAAACACCCCAAGACATACGGGGAGACATGCGGCTAAACACAGCTGACCGGACCGTCGAGCTGTTCAGGACGCCGCAGACGGAAGAGGAGCGAACCCGTGCTGTATCGACATTGACAGGCTACTGGCGTGAAAAGGGCACCTTCAAGACTCTCAAAGGATGGCGTGACGAGCTATGGCCCGTGTATGCTCGAAAGGGGGAGCTTCTCTTCAGCGTGGAAAGGGCTGCCATGGGCCTGTTTGGCACTGCGCGATACGGAGTCCACATGGTTGCCTATGTCGAAGATCCAACCGCTCCTTATGGGATTAAACTCTGGGTGCCAAAGCGAGCATCCAACAAGTCGACTTTCCCCGGCATGCTGGACAACACCGTGGCTGGTGGCCTCATGACGGGCGAGGACCCCTTTGAATGCATCATCCGAGAGGCTGACGAAGAAGCCAGTCTCCCCGATCCTCTAGTCCGTGGCACTGCAGAATGGGTTGGGAACGTCACCTACATCTACATCACCGAGGCAAAGTACGTTGGCGAGGACGGCTACATTTATCCCGAATGCCAGTGGGTCTATAACCTCAAGCTACCTATTGACGTCGTGCCGAGTCCCAAAGACGGCGAAGTGGAAGAGTTCCTGTTGTGTGACGTGGACGAGGTGAAGAGGGATCTGCGGGCCGGGAAGTTCAAGCCCAATTGCGCGCTGGTCATGATCGACTTCTTCATTCGCCATGGCATTCTGACCGAGGCCAACGAACCTGATCTAGCCGCCATCAAGGCCAGGATGCACCGAGACCTTCCCTTCCCCGGGCCGCATCAGCCAGAATGGCCCGGCCACAATAGCAAACGGTCGGTTAAAGCAGCGTAGGCTAGTTTGTTGATTCATATCTTTCTCTCTCTCTGTCTCTTGTATTTTGCTGCCATGTTGCATCAAGACAACTGTAAGGCGTTGGGACTAGCTCCCTTTCTCTCTTTGACCTCTTATTATCTCTTTCCCGTTCCATTAAATTGTCGAATTTTGTGTTTCCTCTATGAGTGAAGTTGCCCGTGAGCGATGTATTTTCCCCCATTCCTCGATGTTGTAATTTTATTGACAAACTGCTGCTTTTTACCGCTTAACCAACAAATAAATGTTGTCAACTCGCAGTGGTGTTAGTTTCTTAACCGGGCCCTGCAGAGCCATGAGCAATCCGCCAAAAGAGACGTAAGCGTTACTATGGAGTAAAAAAGAATGAAAGCGTTAGCCAAGTTGTTCCTCGTTCAACAGAAACAGAATTCTCTAGAGTTTGTCTTTGGACCCGCATACATGGTATTGCCATCAAATGTCTCCTCGAATTTGTATATCTTTCCGTAGCACACATAGTCGTAGAGGTCGGCAAGAGTTGCCGGAGCATCGCCAGCCTTGCCGACATCTCGCCAGCCCTTATCGTCCTCCTTGCTGCCGTCTGGTGATAACGTGGTGGTCAGGACAACATGTAGCGTATCGGACACGGAGCATGGGAACAGCTCAATGTTGATGTCCAGGGTCATGACGGTCTGGGAGTCACTAGACGTGCATGATATGCGGGCGACTCTGTCGTATTTGGACTGGTCATATTCCGTCACGGTGAAGCTTTCCTCGAAAAGCGTAGCATCGCCACTTCCTGCTCCAGACATTTTATAAGATTGGCCTTGTTGTTTCCCCTTTTCTTTTTTTCCCGTCTTTTAATTAGCTGCTTAGAAGCAAGAGTATCTTCGTGGATATTCAGCAAAGGGTTCGGAGAATCGGCTTCGTTTGGCGTTGGAGTTGACGATCTTTCGCGATTGAAATCGTTGTAGAAATTTATTTCGGTTGGAGGGGCACTACAGGCTCCAAAATGCCGGATATAAGCATATTTATAGCTTATGGCGCTGAACCGTGGTGCTGAATCGGGGCAATTAACCATTGATAAGATAAGCTTTTTGTATGCCCTTTGGTTTGAAAGTCGTCATGAATGAGTAAAAACGCTGAGCATCGGCTTGTCTTTATTTTTAGCTCTTTCTAAAATATCTTTTGAGAAGTACATTCGACCGTGAGAAACCATTTTTAGATTGAGAGCTACGGTATCCAACTGTTTCACCTTTACATGGAATTCATGGGTAGTTGGTGAAAGCAGGTTCCAAAACTTCAAATATTCAGCATGTCGTTTCGGAAGAGGAATACAGTAATCGGTGTTACTGGGGCCGCACCAGAGTTACAGCAAACCAAACTCTTGGTCCCAGGCACTCGACCTTCTCCTCACGATGGAAGACTCACCACCTCTACTGGAACTTCATCTTTGGACCAGCTGCTCGCAGGTCATGCTGGACTACCCGTGGGAACAAGTCTTCTCGTCGAGGAGACTGGGACGACCGATTTTGGCGGAATCTTGCTTCGCTACTTTGCTGCTGAAGGACTAGTCCAAGGCCATTCTGTACATGTGCTGGGATTTGGAGATCACTGGCGACGTGAGCTTCCAGGGCTGGCGAGCGAGAGCCGATCTAAAGAGTCTGGTAGCTCTAATCCTTCGGACAGCAAGATGAAGATTGCTTGGCGATATGAGACTCTGAGTAGTAGAGCTGCTCCATCACGTGGTAAGTAGTCTCCTGAACTCTGTTTGAAGAAGCTATAACAATAACATGCAGAAAAGGTCCATCAATATCAGACTCAGTAGAAGGGATGGCCCCTTTCTGTCATACGTTTGATCTATCAGGGCGTCTGGACGATAATGTCGCTCAGGGGCAGTTTTATACCACACGCGGAGGCGGCATGGATTCAGGCCCGTCACTGTTCCGTCGTTTCATCAGCGAGGTCACCACTAAGATTAAGAGCTCGCCTCCTACTAGTATCCACAGAATTGTCGTTCCCAGCCTACTCTCGCCAACTCTCTATCCGCCTTCAGCTTCTCGTCCGCAAGAGGTGCTACAGTTCTTGCACCAGATACGAGCCTTGCTGCGGCAGTTCCCCTCAAGAGTTGTTGTCATGATGACGCTGCCCATCTCACTATATCCCCGTTCGACAGGACTCGTTCGGCGGGCAGAGCTAATCTGCGACGGTGTGGTGGAGTTGATATCGCTCCAGCAGCAGCCTCAACACCATATTGACCGAAGCTCTGCAAATGATACCAAGGCACAGGGACTTTTCAGGATTCACTCGCTGCCCATCTTCCATGAAAAGGGAGGTGGATTGGAAGGAAGCTGGGTGAAGGAGGACATGTCTTTCAAGCTCAGCGCTTCGAGCGGGCTTGTCATCGCGCCGTATAGTTTGCCGCCATTGGAAGATGATGGACCTTCAAATGCGCCATCAAATGAGAATAAGCCTAAACTTGATTTTTAGTCGGGTTCAATTATTGCTTCCCAACACTCTCTTATCAGAATTAATAGATCTTGCGTGAGACGGATAAAACGCACCTTGTTGAGTGAGGTCTGCGGTGCCTCTTGCAGCAAGTATACCTACCTAGCTATGCACTTAACAGGGAGAACCTTAAACGATATACCGGTGCCTAAACTCCCTAAGCGAATTTTAAGTGGATCGATATTTCTCTATCGGTGCATGTAGCTTCCCCACCACAATAGCTCAATTATCTCATTTAAGTTTCAAAAATCTTCTCTTCTATTCAATGTCTTCTTGTCGCCTTTTTCTCTCTGTCTTCTCGCTTCAAACTTGAAGAGTCTGGGGAAGAGAGACTGACACAAACATGCAAGGTAAGCAATCAACTGCATTGCATCTGAAAAAATGTTTCTTGGGATTCACCTACATGATTATTACCTTGAATATCTGTCAATCCACTGAACACTGATGACAAAATCAAATTTTTACGAAGACGACTTATGACTTTACACCCCCTGAAACACAAACACAAAGGAATCAATTCAATTTTTGCATGCAGACACATGAACTAACTCTTCATTGCGTTTGCAGGATCATAGCCGCAATGGAAGCCCCTAAGCTCATCCGCATTGCCAATATCTCGGGACGGTATCTCGTGTTTGACCCAGATGCCGTGAGCGCCCTCCGCCGAAGAGCAAACACAAACGGCACCTTGGTGGGAACTACTCCGCAGCAACCAACTCAAAACATTTTCCTTGGTTTGCCAATCGAGCTCCGGCCTGAAGAGGTGGATGCTCTAATTCGTACAAACGTTGCGTACGTCGTAGATGATGTGGCCGCCCACCAGTCGGCTCTGCAGTCCCTTGACCATGACTCACGGAGGGCGTACATCAGCTCGCTGCGGCTGCGAAAACAAACAGCACACAAGGTCTTTGCGGAAATGAACGCCCAGAAAGCCTCCATAGCAGCCAGCAAGGCTGAGAGACAGCGTGATTCCACTTCAACCCCTGCCTCCACCAGTTCCGCAGCGCCTGATAGCCTCAAATCAGACGGCAGCCCCTTCTCTCGCAATAGCCAAGTGACTCTGTTGGGCGTCACACCAACATCTAGCGCCAACCATGTCTCTCCAGATGCTTATGCGTTACCTGTGGAATCCCGTAACTCGGAGAAAGGGTCGCTATGCCAGTTTATGCTCGGCAATGGGTACTTTATGACCCCGGGGCTACGATTTGGGGCCCGTTACAGTGTCTACCCCGGTGATCCCTTGCGTTTCCACGCTCATTTCATGGCAAATGAGTATGGCTGGGAGGAGGATATACCTATCCTTGATATCGTAGGCGGTGGCAGACTGGCAACAGCTGTAAAGAAAGCGTTTCTCATAGGGGGCCGGCAGCCGTCCACAAGTCCAGATACTGCCCCCCCTGCCGTGAGAAGCTTCAGCATAGAATGGGCTGGCATGTAGAGCCCAATTGACATTATAAACAAAACATATCGCTATTGAAAGTAGGAGTATATATATTCCGACATCAGTCTAGGAAAAGAAAATGGACACAAAAAAAACTCCCAAGCCGGAGACGAAATAATCAAAGCTACCCCCCAGTTCCCAACTCCAGGTATGAGTGTGACAAAAAAAGAATAAGTGGGAAGAAATAAAACAACAACCAGTAGTTTCTCAAGATCGAAACGGCTATACCCCAACAGGCCTTGACGCTGTGGCATACGCGGCAATTCCTAAGGGACATAGATCCTGCTGAAGCTCATAACATCCCGACGGCAGCACACGCACTTGTCAAAGTTATTCATAGCCAGAGACACGCGGCAGTCGTCGCACAAGCTAAGACAACGACAAGGCCATACGATAACAGTACGCGGTGAGCATTGGCACACTACACAAGGAGAACTCTCGCCCTCGGCCGGTGTCGCAGCTTCACTCATACCGGAGTCTTGTTGATCATCTTTGGCAGGGGAGCCTTGCCGTTTTGTCCAGATCAGCTGCTCCAGGAGATGCTCTTCTTCGTCTGGGCTAAGCTTTGTAAGGCGGCCCTGGGGACCGAGCTTGCTTGTCTGCTTTGCCTTTGGACTCTGCACCGTCAGAATTCTCGTCCGCTGAAGCTGCTCTATTCGTCTGAAGCCAGATCTCGTCAAGATGCGATCACTCTGAAGGTGAGCCGCGAGTCTCTCCGCCTCCTGTCGCTCTTCTAGACTAGTAGGGTGCAGGAGACGAGCAAGATCGCCCATCGCCAGTGGACTATCAAGGAATGGAGTACCTTCACGTTCGGGCCGTGGTGAGCGCTGAGTAGGTGTTCTCTGTCCGCTCCCCTGATCTGATGCCCAACCGTCCTCGTCCTCGTCTTCCGTTTCGCCTCCATTTGTGGTCATAGTAATAACGCTCGTGTTATCCCAATCATCCTCTTCCTCGCGAGGCTGATACGTTCCGCTCATGTCGTTGGAACCCCACCATCCACCTTTGAGCCAGTACTTGTAGAGATCCCCATCGAGCGTCTCTTCGTCTTGGTTTGTATCAATTCGTCTGAATTCGGCCTCGATATCCAGAGCATCCATTCTCAGAGACTCACCCTCCAGAGGTTTCGCCATGGCATCTTTGCCTCCGCTAGAGCCACGGTTCTGCCTCGAACCATTATCAGCCCCAGGCGTCTTCGAACGGCTTGCGAGCCACAGCAGCCAAGCAGGACGGGTTTGGAGGCGGCAGACGCCAAGAATCCACAGAACGGACAAGGCAAACACTCTTGCCAGAAGCTTGTTGATACCAATGAGGAATTCCAAAGCCAGCAGCCATCTCGAGCTCCTCTCGGAAGCACCAATGCCCACCTTAAGCACCTTATCGCCACGGCCACGGGGGACCTTTTGTGCAGCACGCTCTCGGCTATAACCATTAGGAGGCAAAAGGGGCCCGTCTTTTACAGGTATTAGGCCGATGGTACCGATTTGGTCGTAACGCGGGTCAGAGAGACCCATGCTAATCCATTGCCTCCGCAGCTCCTCTGCTTCTCGATAACGGGCTTCTTCAAGCCAGGTCTGGTGTTTCAAGCTGACGCCACGATCTTCATTCAGATATACAGCCTCGCTGGCCATGGTTATAGCGGCAAACCCTGTTCTTAGCAGGGCAGTGTAAAAATCCATTTCCCGCGTGATGCGAAGTTCCGATAAGGAGACATTGGCCTGCATATTTTCATGCGCGCGGAGTAGACGTTGGCGAAAGGTCATCCTGGAGTGTTCTTGACTAGCAGGCGGCATCACAGCCGTGAGCAACAACGCAAGGCCATAGACAAATAGACACATAACAATGCCAATAAGTATCAAAACGTGGGGGACAAATCCGATAATGCAGACGGTGGGAAATCTAAAAAACCCTTGAGACGCAGGATTATCCGCTTCAAAGGTTAAAAAGCTCCATACGAGACTACCCATGAAGCATAACCCCCAGAATCCTGTGTTGACAAGCCGGTACTTAGCTTGGAGATCAAACAGGCCCAGGAGATGGCTCGTAATGTGTGTCATGGAGGATAGGAAAGCGATCCACAAGACTTCAGGTGACGTATTGACACGCCTTAGAATTGCTGCTCGTGTCATGACAACGGTACCTCCTTGACTAAGTGATGAGGGAACTGGGCTTTGGTATTTAGAAAACGCGCCCCATCCAAGCTGGTTGTTAACAGCAGCATCAGCCTCGGCAAAGGCAAGCGACTGTTCGAACAATGTCATGCCCGTCTCGGCAGCAACGGGTCGGCCCTGAACCGCACAGGAAATGGTCTCGAGGAATTGGCTGAGGCAGAAAGTGCCGAAGAGAGGCCACAATCGGGAAAGAGATCCTCGAAGCTCTCGAAGAGCATCCGGGTCTGATGACGGCACCATGTCGGCAGCAACGCAAGATTGCTCGTCTGAAGCCCCGAAAAGTAAAGACGAGCTCATAGTATTTAGGAAAGGATTTGAGTGTGAGAACATGAGATCGGAGCTTCTGTTGGCATCGCCCCAACGCAACTGCGAGAAATCGGGCGAGGTCTGGCACTGAATAGACTGTAGGAGGGTTCGGGACTGCAAGACAAGCACAACAAAAGGAACGATTCGCAGGAGGAGTCTAACTTGCCAACGGAGTCGCAACCTCCGCCGCGTAGCAGCAAATATATGAGTCCGGTTAAGAACAACAGCCATGGCAATGCACGAGAGCGCCCATCTGCTGGTAGCATAGCCGAAGACGCTCCCCAAGCCTCGAACGCCGTCCAAAGACATGAACGGCGGCTGAGCTGAAGCCGCCTGGGTACCGGGAGCTGCAGCCACGTTCATCATGTTGCTATAGAGGCTCGAGTCGGTGGCCATGGGGCGAAGAATCTCCTGCTCGGATGCAGAAGCCGCCGCAGACGAGATGGCGTCTTGGGCGGGAAGGGCAAGGGAATCGGGTGCCGCCATAAGAGAACCAAGCTTCATGACGATGCGCGGACCAACCATGACAAGGTCTTCGAACAGAGGGGCATATCGCGTCACATTGACTGCTCGGGCAAGGGCCGTCAGATTGTACCATGTATTCGTCGTCGTCGGGTCGAAATCGGCCACTTGCTGTGTCGCTGCCAAAGGCGGCACTATTGCAATGCCATTCTGCATGACCGAGGCCAGTCAAGCAATGGCCGCGCCGGGGAAGCGATCCGACAGGGCGAGGCTTGATGCGCAGCTCTAGGATGATTCGAGAGGTGCAGCGAGGGTCTAGGCCGACGCAGTCGTGAGGCGATGCGACTGGACGAGGCGGGATGCTGTTGTTTGAAAAGCCTCTTGGAGGCCCCCGTGAGAGAGAATCGCGTGCCGCACAGAAACAATGGAGGCCGAGTTGCTTTCGCAAATACCTGAAGAGGTAACTGTAATTAGTGCAGGTACCTCAGCAACGGCGATATCAGACACTAAATTAGCAGTCCTGCAGCGCCCGTAGCGTTAACTCGGACGGTAGCATTAGAAACTCCGCAGCGGAGGTCCATGGTGGCAGATCTTAAGCAAGTTCGGGCTTTGCTGGGCCTTGTAAACATCCATGTATGTGAGATGATGGCATGCACGTTGGCACAGACCTCCGCAATTCCTGCTCACCCCAATAGGTACATACCTACTGACATTCATTCATGCTCTTATAAGAAACCACCCAGAAGCTGCATGTGCTTGTCCAAAATTCTATCGGCATTCAGTATTATCAGAAGATCATATAGCATAGATATTAATCTGCCATAAAATACTGTGTAAAATACTACATATCATTATTCCAAAAGCATCAAATGACTGCGCTTGATAAGAGCCATTCAGGCAACATCACGTCAAGCTACTACTACCCCTACCTACTCCAATCGCTAGCCCGGTTGGTATCAAGCTATCCAGTTCCAGTGGGCATTTCGCAACGGCATCTAAACCGCGACATGCTCGGCTGGGTATCACAAATGCCTCCAGCCTCCTCCAGACAGCTCTCCAAAAGTCACATGTCAACGGCGCCTGTGATAATATTGCCAGGCTCCCAGAAACCGCCCTCTTCCATTGGATCCTCAGCCATTTATGCATAACCGAAGCCTTCATGGATCAGGACACCCCAGGCCATGACTACAACCCATCTCAGCCAGTGACTTCAGACGTCAGCATCCCAGCCTCCCTGCTGCAGCAGAATATCGAAGCTCCTAGTATCGCTTCGCCCAACACTGCCAACGGATGGAGCCGCGAGCCGGAAGAAGACAACGATGAACCTGCTGTAGCGAAACCCTTCGCCCGCGTCTCAAGCCCCGATTCGGCGGCTCGCGCGCAAGGAGCCGCAAACCCCACGGCTGAAGACGACGACGGCGACACTGAAAGCAGCCAGGATGACGGACCGTCGTTTTACAAAATGCACAAGTTCAGCCTCTACGAGACCGTCAGCCGTTACTACATGGTGGGGGTGGATGTGAGTGAGAGGCGGTATCGCATTTTGAAAATCGACCGGACTACAGAAGGCGCCGACCTGAATATCACGGATGACAAGATCATCTACAGCCTCAGAGAAGTGAACCAGCTCCTCGACACCATCGACGATGGCAACCGCGCATCTGGTGGCATCAAGCTGCGCTGTACCACTTGGGGGCTACTTGGCTTTATTAAATTCACCGGCCCGTATTACATGCTTCTTATCACCAAGAAGAGCACCGTTGCCATGGTTGGTGGCCATTACATCCACCAGGTAGAAGGGACTGAGCTGGTACCGCTGACGCCGGGACGCACCAAGGTTGATGTTCGCAACAAACCAGAGGAACAGCGCTTCCTAACCATCTTGAACACCCTGGACCTGACCAAGTCTTTCTACTACAGCTATTCGTATGACATAACTCGAACTCTCCAGCACAATATCACACGAGAGAGGGCATCTCTAGCGAACGGCACTGTACCCTGGCCGAATGAAGATCTCAACTCTATGTTTGTGTGGAATAACTATCTGCTGGAGCCCGCCGTCAACGTCCTTCAGGACCCATACGACTGGTGTCGGCCCATCATACACGGATACATAGACCAGGCAGGCAAGTTGTTGGTCGTTACCAGCCTGCATGTGCTGCTAACTAACACGACATAGCACTTTCAATATATGGCCGAACTGCTCATATCACTGTGATTGCCAGGCGGTCACGGTATTTTGCAGGTGCCCGCTTCCTTAAACGAGGTGCGAACGACCTAGTAAGTGGTGCATTTCCACTAACACCAACATCATCACCTTCTCACTCAATATCAGGGATATGTCGCCAACGATGTTGAGACGGAGCAAATCGTTGCGGAATCTTTGACAACATCTTTCCACGCTCCTGGCCCCAGGCCGTACTGCAGTCCTCAGTACACCTCGTACGTCCAGCATCGTGGAAGCATACCTCTCTACTGGACCCAGGACAGCACCGGCGTGACTCCTAAACCGCCCATTGAACTTAATTTGGTAGATCCATTCTATAGCGCCGCCGCTCTTCATTTCGATAATCTATTTGAGCGGTACGGCGCTCCGATATACGTTCTCAACCTTATCAAGTCCAGAGAAAGAACGCCTAGAGAGTCAAAGCTGCTAGCAGAGTATACACATGCCGTAGACTATCTCAATCAATTCCTGCCAGCTGACAAGAAGATTATACACAAGGCGTGGGACATGAGCCGTGCATCCAAGATCCGTGGCGGCGACGTCATCGGGAATCTAGAAACCATCGCCGAGTCAGTACTGAAAACAACCGGCTTCTTTCAAAACGGCGACGGAATCACAACCCCCCTGACGGCCCAGAACGGCGTTGCTCGCACCAACTGTATCGACTGCTTAGATCGCACAAATGCCGCACAGTTTGTTATCGGAAAGCGTGCGCTGGGTCATCAGCTCCACGCCCTTGGTATACTTGAAAACACCTCTGTCGAGTACGATACTGATGCTGTAAATCTCTTCACCCACATGTGGCATGACCATGGAGATACAATTGCGGTACAGTACGGTGGCTCTCAGCTCGTCAACACGATGGAAACGTATCGAAAGATCAATCAATGGACCAGCCACTCTCGAGATATGATAGAGAGCTTCAAGCGATACTACAACAACTCGTTCCTCGACAGTCAGCGACAAGAGGCATACAATCTCTTTCTTGGCAACTATATCTTCTCACATGGTGAACCTATGCTCTGGGATCTGCCAACAGACTACTACCTTCACCACGCCAGCCCGAAAGAGTGGACAGAGGCGGGAAGGCCTAATTACATCAACTGGTTCACACCAGCTCATCTCCAGGAACGGAAGATACCGCCATTCGTTGCGCCAACAGCCCTCAGCCGTTGTAAGAACGCAGAATCATTCGATGATTACTGGCTAGAGTACTATCGACCAGCTACTCTATCATCCTTCCCTAAGATGTTTGCGTACAAGATGAACTCTACCATAAAATATATACCTCTGAAGGCAACTCAGGATGGTAGATATGATCTCAGCCCTTTCCGAGTCCGAACGGATGGTGATGTCGATCCCGAGAAGAGGAAAGTAAAGAAGGAGCCCACATCACCATCTGAGTCGCTAGTCTCGGCCCAGACCTACCGCCAACAGACACTCTCCCTTGACATGGGAGACAATGCTTCGGCCATGCTCTCTGACAGAGTAACAGGGAGGGATGTGTCTCGGAATGACTGGCTACGACCATCGCAAGGCGGATCGCAAAGCGGGGAGATTTGGGGCATCTACAGCGGGCCTGGCGCCATATCGCCAGCCAAAGCTTCTCTCTCGGCGGATACATTGAAGGAGAAGCCGTCGGATCTTGAAAAGTCCAAGACAACGCAGTGGACCTTTACCAAGGCGGTAAAGGACGCTCTAAATCCAGTTGTAGAGTCTCACGAAGCGGAGGATTATGAACGTTATATTCGTCATCCGCAAAACCTCCCGCTCGTCGTCTCAAGCGATACTCCAGTAGATATCGATTCATCAGAATATAAGGATTATGTCGATGGCACGTGGCTTGATCAAGGCCTTATGGTAACAGGCATCGACGAGGATGCAGATGTCTACTCGGAGCTGGTTAAAATAGGCGAAAATCCCCTGACCGTTACCGAAGAGGATGCGCCCAAGAAGAGGTACAAGGCCTATGGGAAGTGGCTTAGGGGTAAATCGTTCTTCAAACAGCAGCCGCTGGATTGAGCTCTATCCGACCCTCGTTACAGGTAGAAACAATTTCCCGCACACTCCGCTATTTCAGGATATTAGGAAGTAATTCGACAAGTCGAGGCTCTTTTTGTAACACAGCGGCCAATTGTCCAGGAGGGGCAGAGCCTTCTCGATTCCATAGAGACTGCAAGATTGTCGATGTATGAATAAGACGTGTTGAAATCCGGTCTATACCTTCAGTTGGTAGCTGTGAAGATTTAAGATTGAGCCAGCACAGTGAAATCATGTGAAGCACTTGATCGGTATGTCCAGGTGAGGAGATTCTTGGCCAGCAGTTTACCAACGTTTCATTCAAAGCCTCCGTAGTTGCACAGACTAATGGTGGGTACGCCAAGGCAAAGGGATCGGAGAGCGTCGTAGAAAACAACTGAAGAAGGTTCTACCCAAAAGCTGTCAGTACACTGCGGTGATGATATTTACAATATCAATGCTGTTTACCTGAAGATGCTTAGCCGTGAAGATTTCTAAGCATGAGATGATATTTTTTGTAATGTTCATCAGAACCTCAACAATTCGGGCATGCTGCGAGGCGTGATAATGTCCCGCAAAGATTCCATCTCTCAGAAGCTTGTCGAGGAAACGCCGTCTTCGTGAATTCTTCACATCCGGATCCAGCTGTGCTACCTGAAGGAGGACACCATACGCCGGGTATAGGAGTTCTATAGACTCATTCTCAGGCGTCGTGGCGGGTAAAAATAGCAGCGTAGGGAAAATTGCGTCCTGTATGACGTTGTCAACGCCGGCAGACAGTATTGTGTTCGGGGGGCATTTGTCCAAAAAGTGGCCAAGAATTCTCAGCCCTTTAACCCTAACGGCCGTATTGTGGTCTTCAGCTAGTGAGAGTAGAATTGGAAGAAACAGAGGCCAGTGACGGCCCACCGCAGCTTTCTAAGAGTAAGTTAGTTTCTCTGTTCGGGTCGATCAATGAAGTTGTTACATACACTGCATGAAATAACTGCCCATTTAAAACTTGATGCCGCATGAAGTTTTTCATGCTCCTGAGAGATGTTGTCAAGTGATGTCATAGGTTGCATGCCATGTGGCGTCTGAGGGATTTGCAATGGCCTTCCGGAGGCAGTTAACCTAGTAGATGATTTGGAAAATAGAGGCCGAAGTGTATCATGGAGCAGACACTGGGTAATAAACGTATCTAGTCTATCACCGGCCAAGCTAATTTCCACCAGGCGAGAGGCAAGCCGTGAGGATTCTGCGGTTGTCCAGTTATCATCTTTTTCGGTATACGTAACAACATATACTAAGACTGTGTCATCGAGAGTGAAAGGCTCTGACGATGAGCTGTAGAGAAGAGAAATGAGAACCAACACTGCCAGGCCAACTTCAGCGGCCAGGGAGCGAGCAGTATAGTCAACAGCTAAGTCATATGGGTGCTTTAGCCTATATTTCTCGTCTTATTTCACAAGGAGATGGTCCTTACCTTGCTCGGTATTATCTGTGCTGTCCATGGAGAGCTTAATTAGCTTTTCGGCTACAGGCTTAACGAGCCCTCGTACATGCAAAATCTCTTCATTGGGGGCCGATAGGGCTCGCTGCTCTTCTTGAATGCCCTCCCGAGTGACCAACAGAATGTTGATACGGTCGAAGAGTTCTAAACCTATATCGCGAAGTGCCTGTACATGGGAGACGATGCAATGTGAGACGACGCGATAGCGAGGCGAGGATAGGTTGGAAATATCACCTCTGTAGTAACTGCATCCAGTAGTTTGGATGAGACATCCTGCAGATTCAATTCATGGTTTTGTTTTATCTCTACAGAAAAGGCATCGTTCAGTCGACAAGCGTAAGGTTGATGGCCATGATCATGTTCCAGACATACCAGATTGAAGTGCACTCAGTCTTTTGCGATTGGCTTCACCAAGCAGAGACTCATGCATGATGGGAGCCACTAGAAAACGATGCGCAAGAGAACAAAATGCCAAGCGCTACTGGAATTTTATTCTTCTCGCCGTTTCTGTTTGGTGCCGCTGGTCCTAGGTTGGTTGAAGTTTGTATGTTTGAAAAGCCAAACTTCAAAGGTTGGTATTTGAGGTACTATGACTTAAGCAGATATTGGGTGCGCTCTAGCCCACCTCATTCACCCACGGCCTTCCACGAGAGCGCTTCTTCCTGATTTTCGCTATTCACATGCTCTACGGCTCGTTTTCTAGAACCGGATATGATTCGTCACAATATCAATTGTAGCCAAGTCAGGGACATAAATCTCTCCATATTTTACTTCTTCCTTATTCATTTTTCTCGAAGATTGAATATTTATTTAAATCATGACATCCCCAAGGAGGGACCTCCCACAGGGGGCCTATGGTAATAATTGTACCCAAGAGACATGGAACTTACTTGGGTAAAATTGATTTCGAGCCTCTACGACTTACCTCTCTACATAGTTATTCTGGTTGAGCTCCAAGGGAATGGCGAACATGCATCCCACTGAATCGTCTTCTCAGCGCGCCTATGAAGTCTTTCCAGGTGTTAGCATTGCTTCGAAAATCTCCAGCAGCAATGTACACCGAAGAAGCGTCGAGAGAAGCATATCAGAAAGCCGGTTTACTCATTCGTCCAGCCGGCCTCGCCCGCAGAAAACTCAAAACGAGCCCCCCGCAAACAAGACAACGAGAGCCGTATGACATCAAGGGGACAACTCCATCCCTGGTAGTATGCGTAAACATGTACCATGAAAGAAGGACGACTTGGCTTAGACGAGATCGTTGAATGGATAGACTTGTTTTCATCACTTTACATCTCGGGCCAGGATCGGCTAGCAGAAAATTTTTCACTCACCAATTTGTGAAGTACTTGAGCGGCGTGAGTTAAGAGGGATGATTATCGAGGCATTGCTACATAGTAGAGAAGAGAGGTTAGCAACTTGTGACAACATGCAATGGCTGAAACATGACAGTTGGTTTTAGAGGTGATATCAGAGATCTTGGTTTGGTAATTTAGGAGTCATCAGGGTGTTCAGAAGCAGAACTGAAAAAAAGGTTTCTCATCATCGACGTTAAAGGGAGTGCAAAAAAATTTAAGCTTACCATATGACATGTACAACGCTTATAGCAGTGCCCAGCAGCAATAGCAGCAGTGAGAATATCCTAAGCAGTCCAGCGTTAGTTGGCTGATGTATCATGTGTATAGCATGAATAGTAGAAGAAAGGGATCGGTCAGATGGTGATGCATGTTAGTTCTGCGCTCAGGGTTCGCGGGAACAGAAAAGTGTAAAATCATCATGTAGATGTTTGGTAGACGGTGAAATGAGAGAGTTGGCTGGCGCCGTCGAACGATGAGGCATGTACAGGAATTGCTTACCCTTTCAACTGCAGCTGCGTCATATACCATTTCCTTTTGATATATGACTGCAGCATTCGCCAACGTAGGCAGACATTAGCCACGGCACTTTTGTGCTGCTGAGTGAAGGAGATTGCTGCGATGCAAAGAAAAATTTGAGCGCGCAAGAATTTGTAGTGAGTGGGCAGCTGCCATATCGATATGCATGTATACGAGCGCCCCGCCCGCTTAATCAAATAGCGTTTCCAATTCCGGAGCTGCTGGCAGAATGGTACGTACCTGAGTTATGCCTGATCAGGCAATAGCAGTGCTTCCCTCTCAGCAACAACAGAGCTCCCCTAGTAAAAAATACAGTGGGCCCAGCCTCTGAGCTTCTCACTTGAAGGGAAAAAAAGTTCTTCACGCTGCTGCTCAAGGACATGCAGCCAGCAAATAAATCATCATGGCAGATCGGAGACGAGTAAATGGGCCAGGAGGTTCTACTTTACCACCAGTTTACGACGATGGCGAATTGGATGCAGTTTCGCGCCGCCAACGAGCGCCCGATGCTATTCGGCCACTCTGTGAGAGCCCTTCCTGTGATGAGATAACTGTTACTAGAGACTAAGACCTTATTCACTTCAGATCTCAAGACAGGAGTGACACCATCCGCATCTGGCTCAGCCTATCTAGAAATCGAGCCAAGAGAAGGCGAGTACGGCTCCGGCATGAAGCTAACATGCACCGTTCATGGGCCCAGGTCTCTCCCACGCTCTGCGCCATTCTCTCCTTATATGGTGCTCTCAACTCATGTCAAGTTCGCCCCTTTCGCCACGAAACAGCGCAGAGGCTATCTGCGCGACTCAAGCGAGAAGGATCTCAGTACGCATCTAGAAACTGCTCTTCGTGGCGCTCTGATTGCCGACCGATGGCCCAAAAGTGGCGTCGATGTCGTGGTGACCATTATCGAGGGGGAATCGACTCGCCAGGATGCAGTGGAGCGGAGAGTCGAAGAATGGGATGTGATGAACGTGCTAGGTGGGTGCATTACGGTTGCTTCTGCAGCGATTGCCGACGCAGGGATCGATTGCGTCGACACCGTCTCCGGAGGAGTGGCCGCCTTGGTAGCGGGCAAGGATGGCAACGAAACGTCAGTTGTGCTTGACCCGGTGGCTTTGGAGCATGAGTCTATTCTTGCTGCCTGCTGCGTGGCCTATCTACCCAACAGAGATGAGATCACAAATCTGTGGTTCAAGGGCCGGCTGCCCTCAGCAGCTTCTTACAATCATCAGTCACTTGTCTCCAGGGCAGTGCAGGCGAGTAAAGGAACACATGGGTTGATATCGGCGTCTCTCAGCGAAGTTATTAGCAATTCTCAAAACTAAAAGTACAACGTCTTAAATAATAATGACGATAATAACGATAATCTGGATCATGTATGCACATTGCATTCATTCGACATTTGCGTAGGCCATGTGGGTGTGTCCCAAGGGAGCATCTCGAACATCTGGTGAGCAAAGAGAGGTCAGCACTGCTGTAAGTGCGAGCAATCGAATTCATTACGAACACCATTGGCTATTGATGGAGACGGTCACCAATGTGAGGCTTTATGAGCCATTGCTACCTATTCGTTACCACAATCAGAAAAATATCAAGTATATTTATTAAGATCTATCTAAAGCCTACATTTCCATACCACATCGCAATTTGAATCAAATTCTCTCGGCAACAGATGAAGCCCAATCCCTTTTCTTTCCCTTATACTCATCAATAAGTGACAAACATCCCAGCTTAATCGCAGTCAACAGCCGGTAATCCTATTCAATGGCTGTACGTTTCCCAGTATACCTCTCAGCAGGCCATCCCTGCATTGTCCAGTTCTCTTCTACTACATCGCCACCCATAATGAGCGTATGCTCTAAGAGGCAGCTGTCATTCTTCATCGTGGCGCCGCTGAGTAGTCTGCTCCCTGACCTCATCACGCATCTGTCTCCTATGCTCAGTCTATTCAGATCAAATTTGCCTCGAGTGTTGATGTGACCCACGACACTAGCATCGTCAATGGAGACTCGATCGCCTAAAGTAATCAAATCGGGCTCCGTAAACATCAAACTTGGGCTACCGTTGGCAAAAAGAGCACAGTCTTTGCCGATGTTGGCCCCCAATGCTCGAAAGTAGAAGACAATCCAGCTGGTTCCCGTGAGGAGCCCCAAGACTCCCTGGCTATGATAGCAGTGTCGCCGAAGCCGTTCAATGCTCAGGAAGAGCTGCCACCGCTGGCAATATGAGGATTTATCCCAATCGTAATTTCCCGGTGCACGGCGTCCTAGCAGGGCCCATTTGCTAGCGATGACAATGAGAAGCGCCAGTATAGCCATGGTTGTGAATAAAACCGCGAGACCAGCCCAAGCTACGAGAAAAAGCACGGTAACATCGAACGTTACAGCGATGTCACGAGATATGAATAGGTTCATGAGATAATCAACCAGCTGTACACAAGCCACTGTCGGTACATTCCAATAAAATGATGTGAAGACAGTGATAAAGGAAGAATAGCAGAAGATAATAAATGGCCCTAGGACATAATAAGGCGCAAGTTTAAGATAGAACGCACGCCCAAATGGGGACATGCGGTCTGCCTCCGTTTCCGATTCATTATCATATGTATCGCTCTCAGAAGGTGTAAAAACCTCCTCCGGGCTACCATGGCGCGTTTTGCTGTTCTTCACTCTTGAAGTGCGCGATTCAGCTAGCGTTTCATCGCTACCCGTGCGTTGAATCCTGGTTTGTACGGAGCTCTTTTTTGAGTCCACGTTGATGCCAGCGAGAGTATCATCACTGCTCATGTGCCGCATGCGGTGTTGAACCGGCTTCTTCTCATCGTATCCAATGCTATGCCCGCCAGAGAGATGAATACAATCACGGCCCTTGGAGCCCACAAAGGTGCCCCCCGATGGGTATGATTTCCCACGGCGTGTCAAAGCCCCAGAGCCCATGGTGGTGTGGTCGCCGACTGTCACACCTGGGAGGAGGCACACCCGATCCGCTATCATGGCACGATCTTGAATAGTAATCTTTTCGGAGCCAATACCATCCGAGGTGATAAGATGGGAGCGAGAGCCGAATACAACATCATTCCCAATATCCAAGAGATGGTAGTCACCGATGCCGGGTCCCGTGCCTGGCCAGTAAACTCGCTTGCCAACTCGTCCGCCAAGCAGCCGTACGGCTACAGATGTTGCTTCATAGTGCTGTCCAAACATTGATGTCACATCGTGCAGGCGTGAGACAGGTAAAAGGGTCTTCATCAACGCGGCTCGCCAAATAGCAATTGCTCCTTGGTCTCTCGTTGTACCGAAGCTCATCTTTCCCAACACGGCATCCAAGAGCAATTTCACAAGTACGGCAAACGCAAAGAAGATGAAGGGACTGATAGAACAGCGCAGTATCAAGGCAAGCGAGTGGAATCCTACTCGCCTTGCAGCGGAAAACCAATCAAGGATGTCCCTCACCGTTGAAGCGTCTGGCAAAGCCATGTCTCCAACCATGCCGACAAGACCGGCCATCCAAGGCAGTATCGACAAGGCCCATGAGATGAAAACAAGCGGTACAGTAAGGAAGCAAGTGAGTAGTATATGAGGCTTTACTGCTTGGGTAGGCGAGAGATCTCGGTTCTCCTCAGCAGCATCTTCAAGCTCCCAGCTAGAGGAATTCGGCCCTATGCAAGTATTCGGGGGAACTATAGATCCCGGTGCCAATATCGAGGATACACCAATAGAGGCGTTTTCTCCAATAACAATTCGGCCCAGATACATGGAGGTGTTGCCTTCAACTGCAAATGGACGACATAGACAGTGTGTAAGGGTTACGTTGTCTCGGATGTCTAGAAGATCCCATTCACCAAGAGACGTGCCAGTAATCTTGACATTTTTGCCAATCTTCGCCCCCATCAGGCGGTAGTACAGCCGTTTTGTGCTGTCATTGGTGTTGAAAACCCCTTTGCCACAAATGCTTACAATCTTCTGGACCATCCACCAGCGCGTGTGGTATACCCCCCACATGGGATAAAGTCCTTCACGATGACGGCCAATAATGAGCCACTTGGCAGCAATGCCAAAAATGGGTGATATAATTCTGATTATGAATTTTGCAAACATGACCGATACCGCCACGTTGAACAGCCGACCTGGAGTATGTTGATTCGTGGGCCATCGTTGCACGTAACTCATGACAACGATAAAGGCAGTCCACTGGACGGCACGGCGTAGGGGGTATATGACAGCAAGGGGGATCAGCTGAAGCAACATGATTACTGGATTCGTAGAACTGTAGGCCTTTGAGCATCCCACTTTCTCTTCATGAGCATCATCTGCTGGTACAAACTCTGCCATTTTGTCAATAAATGTGGCGATAACAGAAACAGTTCCTTGATTGAAGACAAGGCTGATGGGAATCTGTATATTGAATGCAGACCGCAACGCTGACGCGAGACGTCCAGCCTTTAAGGAATCCCCTCCAAGGGTAAAGAAGTCAACATCAAGTGCTATATTCCTCGGCGGTTGGCATAAGACATCAGCAAAGACTTTTCTAACCCTTCCTTGCGTGGATGCCTCAAGTTCCTGAGAGGAGGCACCACTGCCCAGCTTTGCAAGTAGTCCATCCAGCGCGTCATTGTCGACAGCGCCAGAGTGGTCAAGAGGTAGGGGGTCCGGTAACATGTGTATATGTTCCGGAACCATGTATCCGTGAAGGCATTTGGCCAGTTGTTGTTTTAATGCGTCTGGCTGATGGTGATTCAGTGCCCCTAAGCTAGCTTCAACCGGACTGATAAACGCTTCCAGTGTGCCCCTGAGATTGTGTTGCCTATAATAATGCCTGAAACCGGTGGACATCGCACTTTTTAGACAAGTTGACAATGATTCATGGTCAATACTGCACGGCGACGACTCAATGGGGACTGACATGTCAGTGTCGGGAAGGGGACATGTAGCCTGCCAATGCCTGCTCAAGTACGGCATATCGTCCGTCAGTTCCGGTATCCCGCATCGTTGGCTCAATTTTATCCTCAGCACTTTGTTGTTCTTCTTTGGGAGGTCATCCATATAGGTAACAAGTACCGGCCACTTCGCCTGCTGCAGTGACGACCGCAATGAATTATGCAGTGTTTTCAGGTCAATGCGAGGAACGTTCAACGGGCTAACCAACACCACAGCCACCACTTCTTGTAGTACATCATGAGCCACAGAAAAGGCGAGAGCCTGGGTGACTCGTCCATACAGCGGTGATCCTGGTGTCATGGCTGAGCGCATAATTGCATTCTCGACTTCAAACGGCGAGATGAGCTCACCACCTCGGTTGATAACCTCTTTGCTTCTTCCCGTGATGTAAAGGTATCCGTCCTTATCCATATAACCAAGGTCGCCCGTATCAAACCAGCCATTCAAATTGAAGGGTGATCTATCCAGTGTTCCGTCTGGTTTGAGATACCCAGGGAAGACAGGTTCACCACGGACACATATTCTCCCCACGGTACCACTCTGGACTGATGCATCTGACCAGTCTAGGATTGAGATTTCTGGTCCTGTACTGATACCTGACGTACCCTCCCTGTCCAGTTTGTAATTAAGCGGCGGTGTTGATATAGGCATACATCTAGTGGATATGTCAATACGCATTCTAAACAATGGTGAATCTTCACATCTCTTACTCGGTCATCCCATAGCTGGGAAGAACTGTGCATTTAAACGTGTCCCGAAGTCGACACGCCAGTGACGGCAGGAGACCCCCTGCGGCATTGCATGCCAATCTGATACGGCTCTGCTGTAGAGCAGACGATCGTTCCGAAGCCGCAGCCAAGACAACAGAATGCATTGATGGAGATGCATAATACCATGTAACAGGAGTCTCCTGGACCACATCCCAAAATAAGTTGGGATCGAATGCAGGACAGCACACTGTTGATCCTCCAGAGAAAACTGGAGCAAAGATATTTCTTACCAAACCACCGCTGCAACAGTTATTAGCTGACCACTTCGCAAATAGGTTTCCAACTTCAGATATACACTTACACGTGATACAAAGGCATCATATTGAGGCATATGTCCGACGCAGTCAATCCCCATGAGTCTATCACGAAGCTGATGCCGGCGATGATAGAATGGATTGTCAGCGGAACCACCTTTTTGGTACCAGATGTACCACTGGTGAAAAGGATCAATCCAAAATCTTCTGGTTTGTTGTGAATAGGCTTGTACCTTGAGGGTAATAGAGCAGCTCCGCCAAGATCTTTGAGGTCAATCCGGTCGTTGCTCTCCCATTCCATCAGAAAGACCTCAATCCCTGCTGCAGCAACCCAGGGGTCTCCCAAGCCGAGCCTATTGCAGTCATCCCTTGTCGTCAGAATAAACTGAGCACCAGCTTGTTGAACATCCGCGCGAAATTGCTCAGCGCCGGCAGCAGGGTTGATTGGCGCAGATGTATAATAGGTAGTAACCGCGATGCATGCGGCTGCTAATAGAGGTCCATTGGGCAAAGCTATTGCGACTACTGGCTTCCGTCCATGCCCGCTGGTTGGAAGATAAAACGTATCAACAAACTTCCTTAAGCCATCGTGGGTGATGTGGTCTCCCGGTGTTGTTGCTCGTAGAGCTGGCTGCGGGCCGGGGACAACAAAAGATCCGAAAGACTTATAAGAATCTTTGACCAGTTTCAAAGTATCACGAACCAGCTGGGCTAGGTTCTTGTCTTCGTGGGATTTTGCATCCTCTGGCATCAAGTGATACAGCCTTGTATAACTTCTAATGAGAGGGAATGTCGGCCATGATCCCGGCAACTCGCTTAACAGTAGGTGCAGTAAAGCGAGTGGACGATGGGAGGGGCTTGGAGTGCTTGGTATTGCCTCCAAGATTAGTTCCTTGTCAATATCAGAGCGTAGGAGATTTTGGAATCCTTCACTGATGCTGATTTCTGATATTGACATAGAGTAAAAGCTCTCAAGCAAAGCTGTGAGCTTTGAGAGGGAATATGGAGAATCCATCTCAAGTAAGGAATTTTATCTGGCGAAAACAAGCCTTTGTTCCGCATGAAATTGCGTACTTCGAATGCTAGAACTGGCTTTCAACGTCTGGTCAAAGGGCTGTAACTCATGGAAGGCATATCAGGGAGATTTGTGAAGCAGCGGGAGCTTCGATACCAAATATATGGAAAGCATTGATGACCAACCGGTTGCAATCGAGATAGCCACTCTGAAAGATGGACGATCAGTTGAAGATCATAATGGCCATCGCAAAGACCACACATACCAGTTGCAGCATAGGAGCCCCCCGGTCTTTTGTAGCCACACGTAACTCCATCGCGATGTATGAGAATGGCATGTAAGACACCACGCTCAAGGCTACACATCTAGGGGCCGATCCCAGGTGCTGAGAATTCACAATCGATGAGGCCATCATCGATTACCCAAATGGCGTATACCATGGCTCATGACGCACGAGGTTGTACATCTGGAGACCGATCGATCAAATCCCGATGATTGCAAATTATAAATTGCTGATAAGTTTCATTCATTTTTAGGTATCATGATATCTTCAATCGCTGCAGTTTCCGATTATCGAATCCTTGTTTAGGAAGGAGACCTTCTTTTGCTGCCATACGGAAGAACGGGATGTGCGATACCACGCTGAGGATCTCACATCTGGGAGCCGATTGTTTGACAAATGATGGTGTAGGTGCCGATCCCGAAGGCTGGGACCTGTGAACGAATGACAGATTTCATCGACTAGGCGGATTCTTGGGTCAAACTGCCTATCTGGTATAAGACATTGATGTCTAGGACAATATAGATAGCTCCTGGACAATCGGATGCCGCGGTTGGAAAGGCCGGCAAACACAGAGTTGCAGCCATCATCAGCATAGACCCAGTCGGAAGGGAGCGCTCTTTTGCACCTTCTGCCAGGCCAGAAACGCATGATTGATGAGGTATGCCAAACGAGGCTCGGGCAACTCAATGTATCTTGCTAGAAAAACAAGCACTTGCAGTCATTTTTTTCCTTCTTTCAGTCAACAAGATGACACGATGAGAGTGCTTGCAATCACTTACGAGGGCGCAGTCATGCTAATGAGGCCGGTCCGGGCAATCGGAACGCAGACCCGCACTCGCCAAGCTATCCGGCGAAATAGTTTGATAAGAAGGAATGTTTGATACGTGTAGCGTTCCGCTATGGTAGCATTGGGATTGGCTTCAATGCTTGATAAGTCGCCGAGTGAATATCTAGGGAAGAATATGTTCCTTGCTCTGACAGCTTACCTCCTTGGCGGCTCCGGCGATCCATGCCAGTTGGAAAGAAAGAAGAATAGAAGTGGCAGTTCAGAGCCACGCGTCTCCGAGCTGAAACCAAACCATGACCTTGGGTTGTCCAAATACGTAGGAGCATCCATTCAAGAAGGGAGAAGAGCTTTCTCCCTGCATAACTTGAACACCTCCATCTGTACTAGCATCTTACCGAGCGACGAGATGTAAAAGGGCATGTATGGTACTCCACTTAGAAAGATCCTGATTTACCATAATTTATTTGATCGTCAGGACAGCGAATTTCTGTCTTGGTTCACTTGAACCCAGGGTGCTCACCTCATGAGATGATGTTCTAGGTTAGTGATTTACAGAGTCGTGTAAGCCCAGTCGGTGCACGGGTTTGAGCGTGCGCCGATGAGACCCGAACTGGAACCTAGATCAATTACAAGTACAGAGATAGCACCAGGTACCCATCAGATACCTGAAAATGTTTAATCCAGTACGAGGCAGAGGTAGGTACTATTAAGTCTCTCCGCTGACTGGACCAACGCCGTTGACTTGCTTTTCCTATATAGTAGTTTGCCAAGCTATCAAATGATATATGAACATGTAAATGCATAATAATTTAGATACATCGCGATTAATTACTAGACATATATTTGTATTCATACTGATATTTAGTTTGCGTTGTTTCATTAAAATCCAAAAAGGATACTGTAGGTACCTATTCGTACATGATGTAGCTTTAGGAGCGCTAAGAAGCGTGGCTTGGATAATTTTACCAAAGCGTAACGCTCTAACTTCACCTTAGCTTTCTGCGCGCGCACCCTGGTAAGTTTGTGCTACTTACTTGACGCAAATCAACGTCTCCCATGTTGATGGCTTCATCGTCAACACTAGGTTAGGAGGATGGCGTCCGATATGCCTATATCTACGTACGTGTCATTGCACCGCGACGCGTCACACAGAGCAGCGAGCTGATATTTTCGCAGTGTCTACGTCCAGAACCTGGAAGAGCGGGTGAAGCCCGAAGTGCTTGCGGAAGCATTGAAGACTATCTTTTCCGAGTTCGGCAATGTAGTTGATATCGTGGCCAAGAGAAACCTCAAGGCTAAAGGACAGGCATTTATCGTATTTGACCAACCCAGTGCCGCCCACAATGCCATCGAAGAGGTCGAGGGGTTTGAGCTCTTTGGCAAGCCCATGAGGGTTGCCATGGCGCGAATGCAGAGCGACAAAACAGTCGAGATGAAGGGCAATACCGACGAGTTTGAAGCCCATAAACGGCACAGGCAGGCAGAGAAGGGTAAGAGAAGTTTGAATAGCCCAGATTGCGTCCTCAGTACTCACACTTCTACAGACAAGCGCAAGGCGCTCGAGGCAGCAGACGAACAAAGGCACCTCAAGAGGGCTGCTGCTGGCGCACCTGAAGCTCGACCATCGAAATCGGCCAAGCCGCTGGGGTTGAAATCCACAAGTGCCCCAGCTTCAGCTGTTGTACCCGACGAATACTTGCCCCCGAATAAGATCCTCTTCATACAGAACGTCCCCGACGAGTACGACATTGACGCCCTTAATGCCGTCTTCGGCCGGTTCGATGGTTTCCGGGAAATTAGACTGGTTCCAGGTCGGCGTGGAATCGCTTTCGTTGAATATGAGAATGAACAGGGGGCTATCACAGCTAAGGAAAATACTGCTGGCATGGCTTTGGGAGATAAACCCATCAAAGTCACATACCAGCGTCAATGATATGTGTAGACTATTAATATAAGGGCGTTTGCGTTTTGGTATATACTTCTGTGGCATGGGTGTTTATCATCTACGATTACAAAGGACAAAGAACATGAAGAAAACAATTATCGAGGTGGCCTCGATTTAGGATAGCCCACGAGCCTAGTGTTCAGAAAATCACGTCGTCGTCATCCTCCGCGGCTAGGATATCCGCCGGACCGGAATCTTGCTTGGAAGCTCCTGGATCGTTCTTCTCCATTGCTTCTCTCCTGGCTTTCATCTCAGCATCGGCCGCAGCATTATCTCGTTGTTTCTTATTGGCGACCTGTGAAAGAGACCAACAGCATTAGTGATCACTCTAGAAGATGATACGTCTTGTACACCTATACTGACCTTCTTCAAGCGGTAAAATTCCTCACGGTCGAGCTCGTCTAGTTCAGAATTGATGTACTTGATAGTGTTTTCCGTCCGGGGAATAATAACGTGCTCAATTGCGTTCACTAGAAAGAATTAGTCAACGTAATTCAGTAAAGCAATATGATGGGACGCGAACCTCTTCGATTGACCACCTTGATGACCTCATCTAATATCACAAAGGCGGTTTGTAGGCTTGCTAGCTCTACCAAGGCTTCGACAGCACGTGCGTACGTTTCTCTGCATCGCTGAACTTGCTGTCCACCTTTTCCCAACCCAGTAAGTCCAAAGTCATTGTTGCCCTCTGTCAAGTAACTTTCAAACGCTGGCAGGAGAACGCCTGAAACGTTATCTTGCTTTGTGCGGATTCGAAATCGAGCTGATTTGGCGGACTCCTGGACTTGGTATCCAATGTCGCCGCCGACGGCGTAGCTGACTTCGGCCAGTGAAAATGCCGCAATTTGCATGACGCGTCCCATCTTCCGCTTGGCCTCATCGATTCTTCGAGTTATTTCTGGAGCGAGGTTAGTTCATCCGGTAAAGACGTCGGCGATGTGACAATAGCTGACCTCGGAAACGTCTGTCATAGCTCCAGTTAGATGCTGCAACCATAAAAAACATGTCATATCGGCACCATCTTCTTACTTTGTAAGTGCCTCACTTTTCCTTTTCAACAGGCTGTGACCAGTCTCAGCTCCCTTGAGCTTGGCCTTCATGATGCCGAGCGATTGCCGAGTAGGGAAGACGGCTTCGCGATCCTAATGGGCAGTAGGGTATCGAGTTAATTCCTGCAGAATAAACAAAGGACATAGCCAGGACTTACCGCGGCGCCAGACATATTTGCGAAATTGATCTGATGTTCTGAATGCAACTGGTCTGATGATTTTCTTTTTTGTATGTCACTCGGGGATGTTTCGACAAGTTGCGTACTTAGTGCTTGAGATGTAGCTGCCCACGGCTGCTAACTTACCTAAAAAGGTAGCACGGCTGGAGCAACGCATGTCCCCCTCCAAAGTCAATATCACTATAACCGGGTATCTTTCACCTGCCATTTACGCTAAGCACCAGGTACCTTCTTTATCGTGACAAACCTAAATATTTCTGTCGCGATATCAGACCCAGATGCAACGGTCGCGTTTTATCTGCTAATTCCACGGCACCGGTTTTCAAACGATACCAAAACTATAACCATGGGCTGCACTGCATAATTACAACAAACACCAGTACCGCAGCAATCTCTCCAAACTCTTGGTGGAGAGTGAGAGAGGAGAGAGCGACCATGGCGGACATCCAGCACATACCGTCGGACCTTTATCTTGTTGTGAGTTCTCAAAAAGCAATGTGTCTCCTCTATTCATTTTCTAATCCTATTTACAGTCGAATGAAGATTCCGTTTACGAGCAAGACATTCTCCGCGATCCTACACGTGTGAAACCATGGCTCGAGTATATCGATTTCAAGACTCGCCATGGAAGCGTCATAGAGCGAGCTTTTGTAATGGAGCGTGCTTGTGTTAAGCTGCCACGATCATACAAGCTCTGGAAACTCGTTAGTCAAGGTATCAACGTACCGTGGCCTCGTTGCTGACTTATTGGCAGTACCTTTCATTTCGCGTGAAACATATTTCAAAACTCAATCCAGCAATCCATGCCGCCGAATATCGAAAAGTCAACGCTCTATTTGAGAGGTCTTTGATCCTGCTACACAAGATGCCGTCAATATGGGAAATGTACCTCAAGTTTCTAATGAAGCAGCCCGTGGTCACGCTTAGTCGACGGACGTTCGACCGGGCTCTTCGAGCACTACCAATTACGCAGCACAATCGCATATGGTCACTATATCTTTCCTTCGCTAACGCAGCTTCTGGAGAAACCGCCGTCAAAACATGGCGAAGATATATGCAAGTTCACCCGGAAGACGCCGAGGACCTCATCGAGCTGCTTGTTCTACGAGGTGGGTATACTGAAGCAGCAAAGCGGTACATAGACATTCTGAACGATACCCGGTTCTCAAGCAAGCGAGGAAAGGGGCACTATGAACTTTGGAGCGAGATGGTTGAAATGCTCGTGGAACACGCCCCCGAGGTCGAAACAAGCTATGAAAATGGTATTGATGTAGAGGGCATCATCAGGTCTGGCATAGTTCGGTTTGGTGACCAAAGAGGAAAACTTTGGGTTGGGCTTGCCACGTATTGGATTAGGAGAGGGAGCTTTGAGCGAGCCCGTGACGTTTTTGAAGAAGGCATCACAACTGTCATGACAGTCCGAGACTTTACTCTCATCTTCGATGCCTATGCTGAATTTGAGGAGTCTATTATTGGCGCCTTGATGGATGCTTCGGCGTCTCGAGCTGGGAAAGGTATTGAGAGTGAAGAATCAGACTTGGAGCTTGACATACGGATGATGCGATTCGAGAACCTAATGGACCGCCGTCCATTTCTTCTCAACGACGTCTTACTCCGACAGAACCCCAACAATGTACCGGAGTGGGAGAAGCGAGTTGCTCTCTGGGGCGATAAGAAGGTTGAGGTTGTGCAGACCTACACCGACGCGATTACGACGATCAATCCGAAGAGGGCTGTAGGCCCATTTCACCAACTGTGGGCTAACTATGCCAAATTCTACGAGCGGGGTGGGGATATTAGAAATGCTCGTATCATCATGGAAAAGGCCGTCAAAGTTCCATTCAAATCAGTCGCAGAGCTGGCTGATATGTGGATCGAATGGGCTGAAATGGAACTCCGGAATGAGAATTTTGACGATGCTGTTCGAGTCATGGCTAAGGCTATACAGGCACCGAAGAGGTCCAACGTCGATTATTTTGACGAGGCTTTGTCTCCTCAACAGCGAGTACACAAGAGCTGGAAGCTTTGGAGTTTCTACGTGGACCTGGTGGAAAGCGTTTCGACTTTGGACGAAGTGAAAAAGGTATATGAGCGCATCTTCGAGCTCAGGATTGCAACTCCTCAGACCGTTGTGAATTATGCCAATCTCCTCGAGGAGCATAAATATTACGAGGAGTCATTCAAGATTTTCGAGCGTGGTCTAGATCTCTTCAGCTACCCAGTGGCTTTTGAGCTGTGGAACCTATACCTTACCAAAGCTGTCGACAGGAAGATCGGCATCGAGAGATTGCGGGACCTCTTCGAGCAGGCGGTTGAGGATTGCCCGCCCAAATTTGCCAAGACTATTTATCTGATGTATGGGAATTTGGAGGAGGAGCGTGGCCTCGCACGCCATGCAATGCGGATCTACGAGAGAGCAACGCGTGCAGTTTCCGATGAAGATCGGGCTGATATGTTCAACTTCTACATCACCAAGTCGGCCTCTAACTTCGGTCTACCATCAACAAGGCCCATTTACGAACGAGCCATTACAGCTCTCCCTGACAGCGAAGCGAAAGAAATGTGTCTCAAATTCGCGGATATGGAGAAGCGACTGGGTGAGATTGATCGGGCAAGGGCCATATATGGACATGCGTCCCAATTCTGCGACCCTCGAACAAATGTCGACTTCTGGACCAAGTGGGAACAATTTGAAGTCCAGCATGGCAACGAGGATACATTTAAAGAAATGCTACGGATCAAGCGGAGTGTGCAGGCAAAATACAACACTGATGTGAACTTTATCGCATCACAAGCCCTGGCACGCAGCCTACATAAACCTGAAGGCTCCCCAGGTGTGGAGACTACAGATCCCATTGCAGCTCTAGAAAGGCAATCCTCAACGCTACACGGCTTCGTGTCTGCCAGCACGGGGCTCAAAGAAATGCAGAGGGCACAGGATGCTCAGCCATCAAATCCAGATGCTATTGATATAGACAATCTCGACGACTAAGTATACAAAAAAGGCCACATTCAGAAAGGAGTTTTGCTAGGCTGTTTGCATCAAAAATAGATTTATTAAGCTTGCTTCCAAAACTCCACGGCTTCAACTCGTTGCTTGTTATGAACCGACGGCCATCTATGAACCGCAATGCGAATTATTTGCCACCTTTCATCTCGGCAATCTTAGCATGATACTTTTCAGCATAGTTCTTATCGACGTGGCCATCGCGAGAGCCAGGTGTGGCATATATTGATCCTTTGCGCTTCTGAAAGCGACTGGGGGGCACTTTGGCAGCATCTGGGATCTCGTTAGCGACATAATCACGCAACCATTCTCAACTTTTTGCCCAGTGACGGCAAATCCATCCATCTGATGATTGTGGTACTGGAGGGCTTTGGAAACGAACCCCATTCATCACTGAGCCTTCGATCTTTGTTGCCGTTTGGCACAGGTGGCTCGCCTGCTTCAGCAGCGGTGGCGGTGCTCGTTTGCTGTTCTGGGCTTGTTGCTTTCTCCATCAGGCAGTCTTATATGGGATTGATATTATTCTTTGTTGGATATGGAAAAGGGTCCGGGACAGTGGTAACCACAATTATTTTAACACGCACTTGGGTCGATGAGATGAGGGATTCCTTTATATGCTCATAGCGGGGGATCTACGGTTTCAATTACACTGCGTGATGGTGTGCTGGATCATCTATCGTCAAGTGAATCCTCCTTCCTTCCCCTGGATTGGATAGTGGCCTGCAGTGATGTTCCATGCTTGAGATTACCCCGCAAAATAGCCTTCGTGGACGGCAAGTGATGGGTTGCTGAGATCGAGCACCGCCACCAATTCCCTACTTATTGACGTCACTATTCAGTCTTTATTTTAATTACTACTGGGGGATTGCGCGAGGCCTGGATTACCTCCTCGGATACAGAGTAGTGTGATACAATAGAAAAGAATAACAATATACCGGGTAGGCAGCAATGCTTTACTAAAGAGAAACATGTTCTGAGGGCTTGCCTTGGTTTTTTCCACGATTCGCCACCGGTAGGTATGCTAGAGGCTATATATTTGATCACTAGTTTGGGTGGTGGTTGTGTCCAATGCCCCCAGGCCTCCATCGCGGGTTTTTAGTACCTTTGATAGATTTTCTCTTTGTGTAATAATGAGCTTATATATGGCGCCTTCGCACTCCAACGTGAGGCCTCCATGCCACTAAGTGATTCTAGAGGTAGGCCGGAACTACTTGCCCCCCTTTACTTTTTTATTTATTTTAAGAATATTAATTATACTTCCTACTGGTATTTTTTATTATTAATATTTTTAATATTAAATATTTTTAATAAAATCTTAATCAAGTAAGAGTATTTAACCTTAATTCTTTTATTATTATTAAAGTACTAGTTACTAAGGAAGAGGAAAAAAGGTAAAGAAAAAAATAAAATAATAATTAATTATACTTTAGTAGCTAAGTATATAATAAAAACTATATTTATTTTTAAACTTTTTTTATAAACTTTTTCTTAATTTTAAAATTATAACTTTAGCTTAAAGGTTATTTTCCTTTATAAAAAACTTTAGGTACTTAATAAATTACTTTTTTTTTCTTTAGTATTATTTTTAATATTAATAATAATTTTTTTTATAAAAGTTATATTTATTATAAAAAAGTTTAATAAAATTATAATAATTAAGTAAAAGAAAAATTATATTTTAGCCTTTAGTTTAAAATTTAAAATTAATTTATAACTTAACTTAATTAATTATAATTAATTAAGTTAAATTTTAGAAAAATTTAAATTATAAAAAATAATTATTAATTAAGGGTTAAGATTAAATTTAAAATATATAAAAAAACTTAAATAATAAAATTTAAGTATAATATAAGCTTTAAGCTTATAATTTATAATTTAATAATTAAATTAAATTAAATAAAATTATTTTATTAAGTTATAAAAAGTAATAATAATTTTTAAAAATGAAATATATATATAATATTTTTAAAATTAAAAAACTAGTTAATAAAATTATATATTTACTTTTTTTTATTATACTTTAAGTAATAATTATAACTTAACTTTAACTTAAAATATATAATAAAATAATTAAGTAAATAATTAAATTTATAATTAATAAAATTATAAATTTATAATTAAAAGCTTTAAAAAAGGAAAAATTAAAGCTAAATAAAATAAAGTATAAGCTAAATTAACTAAAGAGTATTAAAAACCTTAAGCTAAGTAAAGGAATTAAGATAATTATTAAAAAAGTTAATAAAATAATATAAAGGTTTTTTTATAATTAGTTTTTTTTAAATAATTTATTTTTTATACTTAGGAAAAATAATTAATATATAAAAAAGTAATAATAAAAATATTATTTCTCTTAAATATAAAAAATAAACTACCTAAAAGAAACTAATTATAAAAAAACCTTTAAATTATTTTATTAACTTTTTTAATAATTTTCTTAATTTTTTTACTTAGCTTAAGGTTTTTAATACCCTTTAATTAATTTAACTTATATTTTACTTTACTTAACTTTACTTTTTTTTTAAAGTTTTTAATTATAAATTTATAAGTTTATTAATTATAAATTTAGCTATTTACTTAGTTATTTTACTTAAGTTAAGGTTAAGTTATAGTTATTATAATATATATTTTTATTAAGTAGTTTTTTATATTAAATATATAATTTATTTTTAAGTAAAATTATTATTATTTTTTATAACTTAATAAAATAATTAGCTTATTTAGTTTAATTAAATTATTAAATTATAAATTATAAGCTTAAAGTTTATATTATACTTAAACTTTATTATTTAAGCTTTTTTATATATTTTAAGTTTAGTTTTAAACTTTAATTAATAATT